TGTTTACAGCGGGTGGTGCGCCTCTCTCTGTACCTGATACCGATCGTGCGTGTTCGTAGCTGTTTCTCCGGAGAGAGGCTTAGATGGGCGAGATAAGGAGGCGCTTTCAGTCTCTTGTATAGGCTTAATGAAAAATCAAAGCTATCTCTCTTGGGATTTCCTTTTGAGGGGAAGCGGTGTGTGTGTGTGTGTGTGCTGCGTTCTTGCTGGCACCCAACTCGTTCAACCTGTGCTGGTTCACTTGGAAGAAATCCCCAAGGAGTTCCTTGGGCTATACTCCCAATAAAAGAACTCTAGTGGCACCTTAAAGTAAGATGCTAGTCTGTGAGGATGTATTCCAGAACAAGAACTTCCAGGCGCCACTAGACCCTTATTTGTTTTATGGCTGTGAGAGAGTAATGCCATCACCTCACTGGAAAGCGCATAGGACTGGGGGGGGGGGGCAGTATGTGTATGTTCTGCCCTGGTATTCTAGGAGGAAGCTAAGCAGATATCTGATTCTCCCACCATTCAGAAAAGTGGAACTTAAAACATTTTGGTTTGGATCCTGTGCACATTCATGGTTGTCCTCCCCCAGGTTAGCCTATATACTGCCGTTGGCTCTTAAACTGCAGGGGCGCCTCGGGGATTTCTGGCATTCCCCTGTGTATGTGGGTAAAATGTTTTGGCTCCAGCTTGGCCAAGAGCGCTCACCTGTCCCACAATCAACCTGTCGCTTCTGAGGGGGTTGTCCTCTTTTCTCTTTGAAACCACATTTGGAGAACAGTTTGGGCTTTGAAACTCGACACCTCAGCTGAAGCGTTGGTCACCCCCATCTCCTCCTTCACCTCTTTAAAGGCTGGGTGTGATGAATAAGAGAGTAATTGCTGCCTGTCGGGAGGCGCTCCAAATCCCCACCTTTCCACAGAGGAACACAGACCCTCACCTTGCCCAGGGCTCTTGCCTTGATTGCGCCTTCCAAATGCGGGAGCCTAATGAAGTTCTGGGTGTATTTCTCTCCGCCTCCTTTGAAGACGCAGGGACACAGGCTGGGCAAGGAGAGTTATTTTAACTGGGGCATCATTACTTGAGTCACACCTAAAGCCTCTTAATTTGGTGTGTGTGTGTGTTTGATGGCTTGAATGCTGTTGCTCTACTTTTAATAAGGTGTTGCTGAGCTTTTGTGTGCAGCCAGACTCCAATGTGCAAATTTATTCTTTGGACTTCACAAGGTGCCTCCTTAATGTGCTTTTGGAGAAAGAACTGATGGATTTTTATGAATCTCATCTGCCAGGCAAGGTGGAGTTCTCCAGGTAATCCAGTAGAATGTTGTGGGGTTGGTGTGGTGAAAGGCCCCACTTCTAACAGTGTAAGCGATTGATTTGTTTCTCGTTTCTCCTATTGTGTTGTGTCATAGCCAACCTCTTACCTTTTAAATGGATTGTGATCCCTCCTTGCCTGCTGTCTATCAAGCATAGAATTGGCTTTCGTGTGTTTTACGTAAAGCAAATTTGAAGCGGCTTGGATAGTTCTTTGCTTTTGTGTTAGGCATGTTTGTGGTGCATTGACTTTTGCCCCTGTTTCCAGAACCTGGTTTGTTGTTCCTGTGTTCCTGTTGAGGAAGCCACCTGTGTTTTAAGAAGAACCATACCTGGTAGACTTTAAAATACAGGCCGATGGAGTCCTGGTTACAATGTTCGTTCTGGGAATATGTCATATTTGTGCTTGGAATACTGTCATCTTTGTTGTAAGAAGCTCTAGCTTCTAATTTGCTGCTCCGTTTAGCTTAATGCCACAGAAAGGACTGTAGGGCAGAGACGCTGAGCTGAGCAGCCAGCTGCCTGAATATGGATGGGCTTTGGCATTAAGTCATCTTCCTGCTTGGCAGCTCAGATTCTGTCTAGCTGCCAGTGTGATTTGCAAACAGAGGAGAAAAAAGTGTCCTTCATAAGAAGGCATTCAGATGCACTCAGGTGTACAAAAGTCTTTATATTGAAGTGTATTCTGCTTGAAACACAGGGAAATGGTTATTGTAAATATTACTTGAAGAAAAATGCATCCATGTTAAACGGTGGGGTAAAACTGGGCAACAAGAACTGTCGATCAGTCTTGGAACTGGAATGTGGTTTTTCACTGGGGAATTTTCTACATGCTAATCTGTAATGTATGGCTAAAATGAATAAAAACCAGACTGAAATTCTACCTTTGACAAAGTTAAGTCCAGGTTGTGTGTGAGAATCGAGACAGCATTTTGCTAAAATGCTGTGTGGTGTGGCTAAGCTTGTCATCCTATTCTTGCTCAGAAGTAAGACCTGTTGAAATCTAGTAGTGGGCTTGGATCAGGATATAATAACGAGATCTGAAGACATGTCCTTGAACAAAAGAATCACTGCTGTTAATGGTTAGGCTGAGAGGGTTATGGAAGCGTTTGTGACAGAGAAGGAATTTGAATCTGGGTCTCCCTACTGACACTCTAGCTGCTGTATCTCTCTAATATGAAGGATCAGAGTGCTAGAGACTGGTGGCCTCACTGGTGGACCTCCTGATGGCACCTGGTATTTCTGGCCACTGTGTGACAGAGTGTTGGACTGGATGGGCCTTTGGCCCGATCCAACATTGGCGTCTCTTATGTTCTTACGTTCTTAGAGACTAACCGTGAATTACAGCACCTCTTCTTGTGTCATTGCTGGTATGGCAAATCTGCCAGGGCACTCCTAAGCATGTGTACTCAGAAGTACATCCTGTTGAGTTCAGTGGTATTTCTTGGCCTAACAGAGATAAACTTTCTAACTCAGTTGACTTCAGTTATGTTTAGGATTGTACTGCAAGTGTACCAGTCACGTTCTTTCCTGTATACTTTTCTGTTGTCTACCCCATTTTAAAATCTTCCAGAGTAGCAAAGATATCTTTGTACTGAAAGTACCATTTATCCTGTGGCATTTGATTTCAGGACATGGCCTCCCAAATTTTAGAAGAGTGATATAAGAAGGTTCTGCTTGAGCATCAGTGATGAATATGTGATTTGACCAAAACTGAAATATTAAGCCAGGCTTAACTACTGTTGGGGAGAATGTTGTACCCTAAAGTCACGATGACCCTCAGAATGATAATCAGTATTTAAGGACTTATGATGTTCCTGCACAGATGCCCCTTCTTGGTTCTTTCCCCCATTCTGATTGAGTTCTCCTTTTTATTTTGTTCTACACATACTGATATTAGTTGCATTTTAGGTTTTTTTTATACACACACACACACATATATATTTGCAATGTTACATAACAATTGGTGAGTTATTTTCTAATCCGTTTTAGAATTAGGTAGGATTTATGTGCTAATAAGAGCATAATTGCTGTTCTCATATATGGAGAGGCACTTAATTTCCAAGACTGGAATACTTTTAAGACATGGGCTATTTGATCATTTTGTATTTTCTCTTGAAACAGAGGAGGCGGTCACATCATAGGGGTGATTATGCTTGAAAGATAAAAACAGAATAAATTATTGTGAGTCCCTTTGAGCCCTAGAAGTGCCATTCTAAGCAGAATTACACCTCTCTAAATCAATTAAAGTCAATTGGCTTAGAAGGGTGTAACTCTGTAGGATGGCCTGTAAATTAGGCAACATGACAAAACACTGTGGGTTGGATCCAGCCTCTTTTTCACTCAGTCTTTCACTCCTTGACCTTCCATCCATGAAGGTGCCATGATCTCCAGCCTAGCCTTTTTGGGTGGTCAAAGGGGACACCTTCTTCTCATTTCACTAGTGCAGTAGTTTGTTGGCTCTATAAAATTGTACTGATTGTTTAGATTGTTTAAGACAATATTAAGGTTTTTACAAAGATTTAATTTTAGCATAGAAGTTCATTCAACTGTTAAAGATTTAATCTCTTTTATCATTACTAAATTATTACTAACTTCAGGAAAGTTCTTGTTCTTTAAAGAGAGAATCTATCCCAAAATTCTGTAATATTGATGTTTTATTGTCTGCTTCTATATTTGAAATAGGAGCTGCGGTGGCTCAAGTGGTTAAGACGCTGAACTGCAGGCTGTGGAAGGTCAGTAGTTCAGCAGTTTGAGACCCAAGTGTGCCGCATGACGGAGTGAGCTCCCGTCTCTAGTTCCAGCTCCTGCCAACCTAGCAGTTCGAAAGCAAGAAATTGCAAGTAGATAAATAGGTACCACTTCAGTGGGAAGGTAACAGCGTTCCGTGCGCCTTGGTGTTTAGTCATGCCGGACATATGACCACGGAAATGTCTTCGGACAGTGCTGGCTCTTCGGCTTTGAAAGGGAGATGAGCACCACAACCCTAGAGTCGGACTCGACTGGCTTTCGAGCAAGGGAACCTTTACCATTACTTTACCTATATTTGAAATATGTAATGCATTTGGGAATACATCTGATTTTACTTTGTGTATGTAACAACTCATAATATTTGACAAACCTGATGAATCTATATTTCCCCCCTATCCCTTCTTCCCTTCTGTATCCCACTTTTTTGTTGTTGAGAAAATAATAAAATAATAAAAAATAGATAAAGTCAGGTGGGTAGCAGTGTTGTCGGAAGCAGCATAACAACGTTTGAGTCCAGTGGCACCTTTAAGGCCAACAAAGTTTTATTCAAGGTATAAGCCTTTGTGTGCATGTGTACTTCTTCAGATACAATGACATGGAAATTACCAGTCCATACATACCCTTGACCTATATGTGTGGACTGGTAACTTCCATTTCATTGTACCTGAAGAAGTGTGCATGCACATGAAAGCTTGTATCTTAAATAAAACGTTGTTGGTCTTAAAGGTGCCACTGGACTCAAGCTTTGTTTTACTTGTTATCAAGGTAAGCATTGACCAAGTCTACTGTGAACAAAATTAAAAGCAAAAGACCAACACTCTTGTCACATGGCACTACCTTGGCATTATGATCTTAGTATTCCTGCAAAGCACAGAATACTTACTGCTGTAATGTTTTCCTGTCCTTTTTTTGAAAAAAAAATTATTCAAGCAGAAAAACAAACCAGTAGTCATGAAGTAATTAAATACACAATAGAAGACTTATTTCCAGATCTTGCTAAACACCCTTTAGTATTGTATGCACAGTTCACTGTGCCAATAGACCCTTCAGAAGTTCAGTCTTGACATAAGAGGGCTGTCAGTGTACACATTTTGCAGTCTTTTTAGAAAATATGGTCTTGTTTTCTTAACAGAACCTGCAGTTCTGTTGAGAGATTGAGTTACTGCCAAACCTCATGCTTTGATAGCTTGAAAGATAATTCTTTCTACACTCCTTTTTAACCAAGATAGGTTACCTTTAAGGCATTTGTGCATTTTATTTGGGTGTTGCCATGAGAAAGGACAAGAACATGCATTTGAAATTTTCCACATTTTCCTATAACTAGCTTTTTATCTTGAGAGCTGAAGGGCGGTGTTTTTTTCTTTTGTGCTTTCCACCTGATCCATTCTCTATAGCCCCCATCTTTTCCCTTCTGGGCACTTGTTACTGGGAGCTACTTATGGCCGCTTTACACAAGACAGATTTCTGGAGGGGCCATGGTTCAGTGGTAAAGTATCTGCTTGGCCGGCAGAAGGTACCAAGTTCAAACCCAGTATCTCCAGTATAAAGGATCAAATAGGTGATGTGAAAGATCTCACTCTGGAGCCACTGCCAGTCTGAGCACTGAGTGTCTCCCCCACCCACCCCGTTCTGCCCCTGCAGCTCCCACGGGTTCTCAGACCCTCAAAGAGCCTGGCAACCCATGTTTGAGCATTGAATATGAGCTAGGGTTGCCAAGTATAGCTTACCTCTGCAGCGGGGGACTCCCGGGTGGATCCTGGAGCGCGCCGCACGCACGTCACCAGGAAGTGATGTTATGATGCCGGGCACGCTGGGGGCGGGGCCACGACCATTCGAGGGGAAACCATAGTTTCCCCTCGGATGGTCGTGGCCCCACCCCCAGCGTGCCCGGCGTCATAATGTCACTTCCTGGTGACGCGCACGCTGGGGTGGGGTTTCCCCCGGGGCCCGATTCCGTGGCGACGGAAATCGGGCCTCCAAAGCGGGGGGTTACCCGCCACCCGACCCACTTGGCAGCCCTAGATGAGCTTCAGTGAGCCTTCCTCAACGTTGATGAGTTCATGGGTCCCATAACTGTAGCTGCAGCTGTTTGCATGTATACATGTAGCGAAACCTGGGCTTGCTACTATCTTAATGAGAAATGGTCTAGTGCAGTGATGGCGAACCTTTTAGAGACCGAGTGCCCAAACTGTGACCCCAAACCCCACTTATTTATCGCAAAGTGCCAACACGGCAATTTAACC